TGGGAGGGGTTTTTCTAGCTGCCCCCCTCCTTGGCTCTTGGAAGCCTTTTAAGACGTTGCTGCAGGAGAAGGGCTGTTTCTGAGTCTAAGGGGAAACTGTGAGGTCCCCTTGCTATTTCTGCTTTTGAATGCTGCATGTTGTTTAAGTAATCTTGTTATATTAATAGTGTTAAATTTTGGGAGTTTTTTTATTATTATTTTTTGTATGTTATAGTGTTGTTGCACACCATCCCAGTCTCCTAGAGGTGCAAAATCCCAGGGGCTCCTGACATTTACACAATTTTTGTGTTTCCTTTGGAATGAGGGACAGTAGAGACTGTGGTGTCTTCAGGATATCTGGTGTATTTACACATATCTACAACCTGGGCCTATGATGGAGGGGTTCACAACATTAACACCCTAAGAGGGTCTTGCTTTTCCCATAGCCACAGCCTTGGATTCCAGAAGAAATTAGGCATGGCTCTGTCTCTCAGCCTGCCAGCTTCCAGCTTCCAGCTCCCCAAACAACTCTCAACTCTGCCTTTGTCTTTCTAGTTACCACTCATTTTCTGTCTGGCACAGAGTCACTTCCTTTGTTTCCGTAATGACCCACGCTTAGAGGGCCACTACCTCATCAGGAAGCTATCCTGGCTATTCCAGGAATTTGAATCCTTGCTTAGACAAATCCTTTGCTAGATGCAGGAATTAGAAGGGTCTCTGCATACAGTGTACCCCCTTATTCTGAACCACAGGCCCAAAGAAGGGCTTGTGAGAGTGGTTGGGTGCAGGGATACCAAAGAAGGTTGCCAAAGACACCAGTTCTAGTGCTTTATTAACTAAAGGTGTAGATCAGCCTGCCAGGTCTTCCAGGCTTTGCAGACACGGGACGGGCACTGCAGCCAGGAGATGGCTTCTCCGCACCCAAGCAAACGTGCATTACATCCTTTGTGCACAAAGCAGCAGACATCACTTTGGCCAGGACTTCCCCTCACTATCCACCTGACCGGATGAGGGCGTAGCGGCAAATACCCAAGTCTTACAGATAGCTCCCCTTTCTGGGCTCAGAGCCCAGCACCCCAATCCCACAGACAAGGATAGCCAGCCAATTGGTGTATATCAAAGCAAGTGACTACAAAGATATAATAGCTCATTGCTACAACCACCACCAATTAATTGTGAGGTTATATTGACTTTCAAAATGGTGAAGCTTCTGGAACACTTCATATTTGGTTCAACACACCCCTCCAGCTCATAACAATATTTTTGTTTTGCTATGTTATTATGGAATCATTTTTGTAGTGTTTGTATGAAATGCACCCGTTTCTTTGTTGTAAGTCACTTTGAGTATGATGCCTTTTGTAAAAAAAAAGCAGCATAAAAATAAAATGAATGAAATCCCTCATCCCTGTAAGCAAAACCATTTATGTATATAATTAATCTATTTATTATTTGTATTTGTGGTTTTTCTTTAATAAGCCAATGGGCATAAGTAGCAAATGCTACTCAGAACAACAGACAGCCCCAAATGGTCTGCCCCCAAAGCCAGAACCCCCAGGGAATCAGGCAACCTCCATTCACATAATTTATCCCAACAAAGCACCAGAAGTAAACCCCAATAATGCCAAAAACTAAGGATCCTGAAGGTAACCATTAATTAGGAGGCAGAAAACCCACCAACGACCCACAGGGCAGAGCCCATGGAAATAAAAATAGGTGCAGTGTAAAAGACCGCAGGCCTCCTCATGCAAAGCTGCAACGCCAAAACCCACTGCAGTCCCATGCCTTGTTGTCAAGTTCTTCTAAGTACACCTCACACCAAACACCAATGGAGGGTAGTGGGGAAAGCACACGTGAAAGCTACCGGACTGCGTTCCTGCGCTTTCCAGTAGTCACAAGCTTCAGAGATCATACGGCGCTCCTGGGGGTTCTGCTGTGAAGAAGGAGAGGGAAGGCAGGCGAAATCCATCAAGCTCTGGCTCACAGATAACTTAGGGGTCCACAGCCCCACAGGCTGAGAACCACTGACCTAGGGAGAACGTTCTCATGCTGAAATATCAGCTGGATCCTGGGAACACATCATGCTGCTAAGAGAGCTCAGCTAGATATTTGCAAATGTTCAAAATGCTCCAAGATGTGAAGCTTTGCAGAATTCTGAAGTTAAAATTATGTTGCCTAAGGATTCATAACCTCAGTGTTTTTAGACTTGCTGGCATCTCTTGATGGTGTGGAATCTGCAGGCATTCAAGTAACAAATTTCATACACCATCCATTGTCAGATACCGAAGATGCGAACAGTCAAATCCGACATTTTCTCGTGTGCAGTTCCCAAGTGTCAGGGCTGGGCTTTGGACGGCTGCCAAGCAAGGACCCAGGTGAAACAGTTGTTGCCCTGGGAATCTTTTTAGTCCTCCGAGAAGGAAGGACGCAAAGGGGTGTCTGGGAAGCCCTCTGGCCTCTCAGCCACATGCAGATCTGTGGTCAAATACTGCATTTACTAAGCCATACAAAGACCTTTTTCTTTTCCCAAGGTTTTAAACATTGCTAATGTCCAAAGTGTCTAATTATTTTAAGCTGTTGTTGATTGGAGATTTTCTTTTCTTTTCTGGTGCTCTTATATTGTTTTATTTGGTTAGCAGTGTCTGTGAAAATAAATTAACAATATGTTTTAGTAATAGGATAGTAAAGAGCATGCTTTCTGACACAGTGCAATGCTATACATGACTAATAATAATAATAATAATAATAATAATAATAATAAATAATTTTATTTGTACCCTGCCCTCCGCGGCCAGAGCCGGCCTCATTGCAGCTGACATCATAAAACTAACAGAGTATACAGAAGTAAATCTCCTTGCGTTAAATGGGGTTTTCTCCCAGAGGTGTGCATTGCCATAACGCTTTGACTCAGGATATGTAGGTTGCAGACTTTTGCTACTCTATCATGAGGGAAATGCTCTCCACATGTGCTCAGAGTGCTTCTGTGTTGTTATAATTTTTACCTATTTATTACATGGATAGTGAAAACCTCTATCGCTGCCGCTCTTGTTGAGCGAAGCAGCCCAGCCAATTCCAGTCAGAGAACCTTCGGCCTGTCCCCCACCTATCTATAAAAAGGAGGAAAGTCTGGTAATTACCAGAGGCTTTGTTATTGTTGTTATTAATATTATTATTATTAATTAAATTTATATTCTGCCCTTCTTCCCCAAAGAGCCAGGGCATCAAGCTTTTCTCTTATATTTTCTCCAGTATAACTCATATTATTAAAAAATAGTATTTTAATAAACATTCTCTATTGACAGTTACAGATAGGTAGCCGTGTTGGTCTGCCATAGTCAAAACAAAATTTTTTCCCCTTCCAGTAGCACCTTAAAGACCAACTAAGTTAGTTCTTGGTATGAGCTTTCGTGTGCATCTGAAGAAGTATCTGAAGAAGTGTGCATGCACACGAAAGCTCATACCAAGAACTAACTAAGTTGGTCTTTAAGGTGCTACTGGAAGGTTTATTCTCTATTGAAAAATTCAGCATAATAAATCAACTACAGTGGTACCTCGGGTTAAGTACTTAATTTGTTCTGGAGTTCCGTTCTTAACCTGAAACTGTTCTTAACCTGAAGCACCACTTTAGCTAATGGGGCCTCCTACTGCTGACGCGCCGCAGGAGCACAATTTCTGTTCCCATCTTGAAGCAAAGTTCTTAACCTGAAGCACTATTTCTGGGTTGGCGGAGTCTGTAACCTGAAGCGTATGTAACCCGAGGTATCACTGTATATGCAAAATAAGCACAGTGACTACACAACAACATTTAACTATATTGCTAGGTTAAGCAACACCTTTAAGTGGGATAAAAAAGCATTTTCACAATTCCGGCTAAAGGTGGCAGTATAGAACTCCTTGAGAAACACGTCTAAGTTCTTGGTACTTGGATGTAGTAAAATAGTTTATTCTTCTTGCACTGGACTGTGCTGTGTGAGTTGATCAGCAAAGCTGACATGTGTTAAATAAACATTAAAAGCTT